TAAAACTTGGTGTGATGCTTTAGATTGATAAGATCTCGGTCAAGTTCGAATTTGACATATTTTCGATGAACGGTTTTTGAGATATTGCCCTTGACTTAGAACGCCTTAAAATTTGTTAAAAATTGTTCGTGAGCAGGATTGAAGCTACAGTTTTCATCCGATTCTGATGAAACTTGGTGTGATCATTGGAATTGATAAGATCTCGGACAAGTTCTAACTTGACGCATTTTTGATGAACGGTTTTTGAGTTATTGCCCTTGACTTTGTTAAAACGCGTCAAAATTTGTTAAAAATAGTTCGTGAGCAGGATTGAAGCTGCAGTTTTCAACCGATTCTGATGAAACTCGGTGTAATCATTGGAATTATTAGGATCTCGAACAAGTTCTAACTTGACGCATTTTCGATGAACGGTTTTTGAGTAATTGCCCTTGACTTAGAACGCCTTGAAATTTGTTAAAAATTGTTCGTGAGCAGGATTGAAGCTACAGTTTTCAACCGATTCTGATGAAACTTGGTGTGATCATTGGAATTGATAAGATCTCGGACAAGTTCTAACTTGACGCATTTTCGATGAACGGTTTTTGAGTTATTGCCCTTGACTTAGAACGCCTTGAAATTTGTTAAAAATTGTTCGTGAGCAGGATTGAAGCTGCAGTTTTCAACCGATTCTGATGAAACTCGGTGTAATCATTGGAATTATTAGGATCTCGAACAAGTTCTAACTTGACGCATTTTCGATGAACGGTTTTTGAGTTATTGCCCTTGACTTTGTAAAAACACGTCAAAATTTGTTAAAAACAGTTCGTGAGCAGGATTGAAGCTACAGTTTTCAACCGATTCTGATGAAACATTGGTGTGATCATTGGAATTGATAAGATCTCGGACAAGTTCTAACTTGACGCATTTTCGATGAACGGTTTTTGAGTTATTGCCCTTGACTTCAAGATATGATTTGCATTAATCTAACAATATGAAAAATTTGTATTTTTATGGTTGTTTTTAAAAACAAATATTTCTACTGGTGATTATTATTGTTGTGCCATATTTTTATCCGCCCACATGAATATGTGGTCGTATATTGTCGTCGCCCCTGTCCGTCTGTCCGTAGGTCAACATTTCTTGCGAGCACTATAGAGACTACAGTTTTTATCTGATTTTGATAAAACTTGGTGTGAGGCTTTAGATTGATAAGATCTCGATCAAGTTCGAATTTGACATATTTTCAATGAACGGTTTTTGAGATATTGCCTTTGACTTTGTTAAAATGCGTCGAAATTTGTTAAAAATAGTTTGTGAGCAGGATTGACGCTACAGTTTTCAACCGATTCTGATGAAACTTGGTGTGATCATTGAAATTGATAAGATTTCGGACAAGTTCTAACTTGACGCATTTTCGATGAAATGTTTTTGAGTTAATGCCATTAACTTACGAAAAACGCGTCAAAATTTGTTTGTGAGCACAATAGAAGCTACAGTTTTCAACCGATTCTGATGAAACTTGGTGTGATCATTGGAATTGATAAAATCTCGGACAAGTTCTAACTTGATGCATTTTTGATGATCGGTTTTCGAGTTATTGCCCTTGACTTTGTAAAAACGCGTCAAAATTTGTTCGTGAGCCCAATAGAAGCTACAGTTTTCAACCGATTCTGATGAAACTTGGTGTGATTATAGAAATTCATAAGATTTCGGACGAGTTCTAACTTGACGCATTTTCGATGAAATGTTTTTGAGTTAATGCCATTAACTTACGAAAAACGCGTCAAAATTTGTTTGTGAGCACAATAGAAGCTACAGTTTTCAACTGATTCTGATGAAACTTGGTGTGATCATTGGAATTGATAAGATCTCAGACAAGTTCTAACAAAAGATAATTTTGATGAACATTTTTTGAGTGATTTTGTATTTTTGAATTTCTAATTTGAAATTTGAATATTGAGTTTGAAATTTGAATATTGAGTTTGAAATTTGAATTTCGAATTTGAAAAAATAATTTTGAATTTGAAATCTTAATTTTGAATTTGAAATCTTAATTTCGAATTTGAAATTTTCAGTTCGAATTTGAAATTTTAATATTGAATTTGAAAAAATAATTTTGAGTTTGAAATCTTAATTTTGAATTTGAAAAATAATTTTGAATTTGAAAAAATAATTTTCAATTTGAAATTTTAATTTCGAATTTTATATTTTAATTTCGAATTTTATATTTTAATATTGAATTTGAAAAAATAATTTCGAATTTCTGTTTCAGTGACTGGTGTATTCAAGACTATATATACTATACAAACGAGCCTGGTCACTCTGACTGAAATGGTTTCCTTATGGAGACGCCAATTTTATTAAGCGACTGCATCGCCTCTTACTGCTGGATGCCAAACTTAGGAAAGGCCATGCCCGGACCCTTAATTGCTTTGAATAAAACTGTTTAAAACTCAAGTACTACGTCCATATAACAATCGCGTTGGCTCAGTATGTTAGAGGCGTTTTTGCTAATCTGAAGGTCCAGGGTCCCATCCCGGCATGGGTCTAGATGATACCTTCGGATTTTTCAACCCGCTGTCCCTCTATCAGTGATACAGGTTAGAATGGCTGCGAGGAAAAGGCGTCAAGTTGTGCGGATGGGACATTAAACCGAGGTTGTGCAAGTTGCAAATCGAAAATAAGAGTAAATTAATGCTGCTATCCTGGCAAAATTTCTCTTATTGCACACTGTATGGCCATGGCCTTGCCTCATTAGCCTAAAAGGGTGAAAAAAGTAGGACGTAAAACTCCATTTCATTTCTATTCATTTTGTCATGTGGTCGGTAAATCGAAATTGTTGATTTTGTAAAAGCAAATTTGTATATCAGCTTTAAATCACTAATCAATTTGGAATCCTTCAGTGATCAGAAACACACTTCCCTGCCAGAAATGTCATCCGAAAATTGCCTTGACTCTTTGACCTTGTGTTTCAATTTCCCGAACATGAAAAGAGACCCAGAGTTATGTAACTCATTTTGTGAGCTTTACAGGCACATGCAACATATTGCATGTGATATTACCCGGCCCCTTTTTACCATTAGTGCATCACGTCTGACCCACCCCAAGATCCCACAATGCCGCAAATTTGATTGTCATGACCACATGAGGATGGAGTTAATATTTATATATTGTTATATAAAGTTATATATTGTAATCGTTAATTTTCAACGTTTTATTCAAGGCAGTTAAGGTATCGGATATGGCCTTTCTGAAGTTTGGCAGCCAGCCACAAGAGGCGATGCAGCCGCTTAATAAAATGTAGTCTTCATAAGAAACCAATGATCAGAGTTTCCAGGCTTGTTTATGTATCCCTTTTCTCGTAGTCTTGAATACACCAGTCACAAAAATAAAAATAAAGTAAACACTATTTTTTCAAATTAAAAATTATTTTTACAAATTCAAAATTCAAATTAAAAATTCAAAAATTTCAAATCCAAAATTATTTTTACAAATTAGAAATTATTTTTATCAAATTCGAAATTATTTTTATCAAATTCGAAATTATTTTTTCAAATCCAAAATTATTTTTATCAAATTCGAAATTATTTTTTCAAATTCAAAATTATTTTTTCAAATTCGAAATTATTTTTTCAAATTCGAAATTCAAAACTACAAAATTATGTCGTATTTGAGCTTCCCAGCCTTGGCCTTTTCAAATATTTTGGTGAATTTGCAGTTCTAGTCAAACCTCGCTTTAACAGGATAACAAAAAGTAGCTTGCTGGGTGAAATACATAAATCTATTTCATTGGGAACAAGACTATAAAAAATATTATTCTTGATCAAACCCTATTTGAATTAGGCCTAGATCTACTGTTTGAAGGTTTTCAAGTCGAACCAGATATTTTCACCCTTTCGTTATTATATTAAAGTAATCAAATATAGATATATTTCTTCAGTTATAATACGATAACAACACAAGAGTCAAGAAACGATAATAAATATCACAGTAGGTATTCTTGTTTAGTTTTTATGAATTAATATTTCTATAAAAAATTAGAACTGTTCATCGCTTAAAAAAGTGCATCCAAATGTTTGTCAGTTGAAGGCCAACCTTTGCCGATATTTCGGCTAGGCTATATTTACCACTACGACCATTCATTACCATTGCGTGGCCATTCATAAGGCATACAGTCTGAAACAATAATTGGCATCATGGTTATTGTGTTACGCCTTACTTAATCAATTTGTTTCAGATAACTATTTGTTAAAGGGGAACAGTCGGCATTTTGAGGGATTGATTTGGGTTTTAATTGAATGTGCTTTAATAGTTTTAGAAGTACAGTCAAGTAACCTAATTTCGTGCTAACCTATTTTTCGTTCATTTCTGGAAAGGATTAATAATTTCCATGCGACCTAGCGTGACCTCCACATTTGCTTGTTTTGATAAACATGGGTTATCTGTACAATATCAGCTAGTAAAATGAATCCAGTAGTTTCAAGCAAGGTAAAGTGTATTGATGTATACTTTGACAAATACAAAATGGCGGATTTCAGTTATTACCAAACGTCACAATTTTTATTTGCCGAAATCCCTAATAATCCCAAGCTGTAATCGGAATTCCAAGTGTTGTCTGCTGGAATGTAGTTCAACGAATGAAGTCAGGTTATCAACTAGCGGATTCCGTGTCATCAGAAAAATTCTATGGAATGCAAAGTTGGCCATATTCTTATGTTGTTTCAATGACTTTTAGCAATAAATCACGATACGTAGCCTATCATATTTTGTCAGTCACTATTTTCTTTTTAATCATGGTTCTTTGAGGGAATTCCCAGCAAACAATTCAACGTTTTAAAAACGTTTTATAAATGTTACATTTTCGTTTCTAAAATGTTTTTGTAAAACGTTTTAAAAAGCTAAATTTGTAGACTCTTATAAATGTTTCAAAAACATTTTGAAGAAACGTTATATTGGAACATTCAGAAAACGTAATAAGGTTTTATGAAAAACGTTTTTGTCAACCTCCAACAAACGTTTTTAAAGAAGTTGAACCTATCAGTGTCCCCGATACAAATACAAAATCTAAAAAACCTCTTTACAATCATTTTAATAACTTATTAAGCAACAAAAAAACAGTAATGACAGGACTAAAAGCAAGGTATTTTCAACATATTCATTTAATCAGATTCCAATTCTTCTTGTGATATGGTCTGTCCTTTTCTTACAGGTTTCTGAAATGATCAAAAGTAATACCCAGTTTAGTATGGAATCCATGTCATTATCAAGATAATCGAACAACATGATAGTATTAGCAGGATAAAGACAATAATAATATGCATGGTCATCATACAAAATATAAAGCAAAGCAAAGCATAAATTGCACACGAATTTCATTCTAGCTAACATTACAAATTTGAGCAGGTGTTGAGGTATTTTTGTAATCATACTCACGATAACAGAATTGTTGGATATCGCCGCCATATTCAGATTTTCTTTGCTGACATTCATTGACGTTTGGCGTTCTTGGCGGCGATCACGTGACGTCCAAAATGGCGCCATCCGTCATTAATTACGTAGAAGAGTCTATTGAACAGGTTGAAAATCAAAGATAACATTTTGTAAAAATTGAAAATAATTTTTTAAAAATAATAGTTGTGATAATAGAATATCAATTAAAAACAAGTTTGAAAAAATTCAGTTTTTTAACATTGACAAAATTCGGTGTTGAATCTGTATATGCACGAAAATAGGTTACACCACTGTACTAAAACGCACAAAAATGAAAACTCCAAGTAATAAAAGTAAAATCATATCACCTTAATGTTGTATGACGTCACTTAGCAACGGCTGGTTTACTGGCTGCAAGGGTATATATTGCGTTAGTGTCTGGCTGGTTAACCAGCTGCTAGGGTTGAAAGGGTTAAGAAGTGACCATATTTGTTGAGCATAAAATGTGTTGGTTGTACATGACTTTCATAGTACTTGGGCATTAACATTGAAATTTCTGCCATGCATTGAAAATATTTACATAATTGAGATGTTTGTTAAACTATATTCCATTATGATTCCAATTCTAAATACATTTCTTTAAGAAATCATCCCAGTCATAATTCAATCAATCCATGGTTTTTAAGATCATTCTCTTACTGAAAAAAAAAACGACGCAATAGGCTACAATATTGGGATAAAACTTGACACCCTTTGAGTTCTATATCTGATCAAACATATTTATTTTGATAAACATAACTTTAATAGTGCTATTTTGTTAAAAGGAAATTCCGTTTTCAGTATGAAAAAGTTGTAAATTATGCCTGAAAATATTTCTAAAATATGCTATTTATATCTATGCATCTTCTTGATTAAACTGAATTTGTTTTAATAAGGTTAATTGAAACGGAGAGTACTAATTGTTAATCAAGCAGTTTGACCTAGTTTCGGTGATGGCTTTATGATGGCTCAATATAATTAGTTAGACACAGTTAGTTAGACATATTTCTCTACAATAAGGCATTTTTTCACTTACATCCATGTAGTAGTTTTCTTATAGCCTCCAAAAAGCATAACAAACTTGAAAAGTTTACGTAACTTTACGTAAACTTTTTTAAACAGTTTTGGCCTTGAAAAATTAATGTCTGGATTATTTTATCTAAAACTTTCAGATACATCAAAGGACAAATTTCTCTTCATTTTGGTGTATAGTTTTCACAAATTTGAGCAAAAACAAATTTCGACCTGCTAAAAAAGTGGATTGTCCCTTTAAGAAATAAAGATATAACTTAAAATGTTATTTATATGTACATGATATTGGTCTCTATTGACCCCCTTTTTTTGCTAGAATATTGAATTCCAAATAGATTACTATAAATTCTCTATAAGCATATATATTATTAATTTGGGACATTTAAAATTTCTGGAAGGCAAGATTTAATATAAACATAAAAAGCTTTATATATCTTTATCAATACAAAGTTACTCTTAACAGTATGTCTTAAAGTTTATAGTTGATATAATCTAAAGTGATCAGCAAAATTCTATTAGCCAACTTACATGCAAATTATGTAGATAATTGTGGATTATATTTCAGGTGTATTTCATTGTTTTATTTCAACCTGACAATAATGACATCAAGATCTGTTCATTGGTTTCGTAAAGGACTTCGACTCCACGATAATCCAGCGTTACTGGCAGCACTGGATAAATGTGTAGAATTTCGAGCAGTATTCATTCTTGATCCATGGTTTGTTAAGAATTATAAAGTTGGAATAAACAGATGGAGATTCTTGATAGAATCACTGACAGACCTGGATAACAGCCTTAGAAAGCTAAATTCTCGGTGAGAGTGAATACCATTCATTAATTGAAACTTTATGTAAATCTTCAATTGAATTAGGCTTTTCCTCCCACATAGTCCATTGTCTGTTTTCAAACTTAGTGAAATTACAAAACCAAGTTACAGAAGGCAAAAGTTTGAAGTCTGTTGGAGATACAGAGATTCAACATTATTTTTATTTCAGATTATACATTATACGTGGTAAGCCAGAGAGTGTATTTCCAGCATTGTTTAAAAAGTGGAAAATAACTCAATTATCTTATGAAATTGATACAGAACCATATGCATTAAGAAGAGATAAGGCTATAGATATTCTAGCTGAAGAACTTAATGTTAAGATATTAAAACATGTTAGTCATACACTTTATGATACAAACAGGTAATATATTTCATAACTAATTTTGTGTACTTGTGTACATAGGCAATTATTTTTTATATGCCCTACTGGATGTTAATGTATATCGCCATTGCCCCTGTCCGTTGGTCCGTCCACATTCCTTGTGAGCACTGTTGAGACTACAGTTTCTATTTGATTTTATTGAAATTTGGTATGATGATTTATATTCATGAGATCTTGGTCAAGTTTGAATTTGATGATTTTTCGATGAACGTTTTTTTAATTATTGCCCTCAATTTAGTAAAAACGCATCCAAATTTGTTTGTGAACACAATTAGAGACTAAAGTTTCCATTCGATTTTAATGAAATTTGGTGTGATGATTTATATTCATTAGATCTTGGTCATGTTTGAATTTAAGGAATTTTTGATGAAAGGTTTTTGAGTTATTGCCCTATTGTCTTCATCAGATTATGATAAAATTTTGTGTGATCATTTAAATATATGATAATTTAGTGGAGCTCTAATACAATGATTGTTCGATGAAGGGTTTTGGGGTTTTTGCTATTGGTTTAAAACAAAATTTGGAATAAATATGATAAATACAATTTATTATGAAGATCTTTAGAATAATAAAATTCACATTTATGTCACTATAGATTGTTCTTATTTCTGACAGTTTGTAGTGGGCTTATGTTAACTTGGCAGGCAAGCCATCTTTTTTTGTGTGTGTCAGTTTTTAATGCTTACACATTAATGTGGGCGTATATAGTCGTCTGTCTGTCAATGTGGGCGTATTACGATTGCATCGCTATTTTTCTTTTAAACTTTAATAAAATTGAATTTTAATTCTTGCAAGTTTTATATTGCAGGATTATAGAGAAAAATGGTGGGAAAGCTCCCTTAACTATATCTAAACTACAGTCTATAGTAAAACAAGTAGGTAACCCTAGCAAACCACTTGATGCTCCAACACTTCAACATTTTAAAGGTTAGTACCTTTATTTATGGTTAGTGACTGATTATAATTTATATGCCCACGTGAAATGGGGACGTATATTTGCGTCATTCATGTCTGTCAGTCCATCCACAATTGCTCGTGAACACTCTGNG